CCCCCCCCCCCTTACCCTCACCCCCCCGGAAGCATTTCGGTCTTAAGACCGAAATGCTTCCGACGAGTCCAGAATTTGAGGGAAGCAGAGTACCGGTATGCCCTTGACGGACTTAACCCATCATCATCGAACGTTGCGATGAATGAAATTGAGTCTGCTGCAGAGTCGGGCGCTCTCTCGCAGTAGAGGCCTTCATGCCACTATCGACCTTAGAAACCGTGAGCATGCTTTCCTATCCCTTTCCTCAACAGGCTACACTGTCCACTTGCTTTTACTGGGGCACTCAATTTATGAATTTAGTTAAATTCTCAATTATTACGTCGGAATATATTGGGGACTGGAAGCGAGGGAGGAAAAGAAAGGTAGGATCCACTCCGACCTGGAGCATGAACACACCTGCTGGCATGCAATACCAGAGAATACTTTCAATCGACTTGGAGTTCTTATGCAGTACATTCCTGTTCATTTCTCTTTCAAAGCACATCGTTTCCTGTTGTTCCTGTTGTATTTAAGATCACATTGGAATTATGAAGCGGAGAGCGTAAGGGAGGATTCAAATGCGACTGGCTGGATTTTTTCGGATGTCGAACTGAAAATGCCATCCATTAATCGAATTTACTTTCTTCTTCGGTACCCATTTGTCACAAAATACACGCATGAAGATTCGTCATGATGAATACATATAGTTTTTTGTAATGTAGAAGGGGCAATATGCAATCGAAGCAGAAAGCTATACCCTCAGCATTTGATAGTGAAATGGGAAGAGCAGCGTTAAAACAACTTCTTAGACCGGAATACATGACATCTTTGAAGCCGCTCGCACGTCCCTCTCCTTCCAACGGGCAAAAGGCTTCTCAGGCTCTAGTTTTCCATTTCGCAGCTGCTCGTTCGTCCATCCATCTCGTCCAGCAGACATGGAATTTCGGAGGTATTTCCATACTTTTCAAGCTGCTTTCCCATTTCCCACGCAATTCCAGAGGGGGTTCTTGCTCTTCAGAATATTCTCCTTCAAAATAGCACGCCCGCCCCTCTCTTTTTTTTCCCCAACAAGAGGACAAGGCAGTAATACTAAATTATACCTTCACAGCTGCTCGCCCGCCTGCCCGTTTATTATAGCGGGCGATCAATTTTATAGGCAGTAATACTAATGCAACCATTACAACTGCACGCCCGCTTTACAATATGATCAAGCGGGCAAACAACTTTACAGGCGTTTCAGCCTGAAATCTGCTCGCCCGTCTTTATTTCTTCTCCAGCGGGTCTGTGGCTCCTTAGGCTGGATTACTGTCGAGATGCTCTTCCGCCTCTCACTTTTCCAGCGGGCAAGCAACATCCAAGACTGGAATATGCCCAGCCTTTCTGTTCAATTTCCACCTCCTTTTTCATAATTGTTCCCAAGTAACAAAAGAAAGTTCTCCAGGACGTTCAATCCATGTTCAAAGAGCATTTGGGGCGTCAAATGCTCACGGGTGAACGACTTATGGCCGCTCAATTAAGGTGTCATGAGGTCATCAACACGTTACCTTTGTTTTTAAAGGTATTCGTTGAACGGTAAAGAGACGTTTCCTCGAACCATGGATGTGTTATCCATATGACAATGGCTTGAACAAAGGTTCACACAATCGACGCAAGATGGCGCTAAAGTTGCCGCTATTGCGAGTCGATACCTGATACAGGTGGAATGAGTCCCCAATACTTTCCACGTGTTGCCAGATCATTCCCCACTGACACTCACGGACGGCATACTCTGGTGGCAGAGTATGCCGTAACTCTCGAGAAAAGACTGGGGCCATGCGAGCGCGTCTAGTCCCTGTAACGGATGTCAATGGAGGTGTCGTGGAGATGCCACATTTTCTCACTTTTTCGACGTATATCTCGGAGTAGAAACGAAAACGTTGATTTGCTATAGTATTTTCGGGTCGGTATAGTTTTTACTTTCACGTGGGAATGGGAATATGATCTTCTCTTGAGTGGGGAGGGGTAGTACTTCCTCGATTACCAATCTGCTATGATTNCCCGGGGGCCCCCTCCCCCCCCCCCCCCCCCCCCCCCCCCCCTCGCTACGCCTCTGTCCGACCCTTTACATTACAACCTTTTACATTCGATGCCTCGTATATGTCCCTTCGGAATGCTGTATCGAGTGGATACCGTCGGGATGACATTCGTTGTTTCGGCAGTCGTGCCTTACTATTTCAACGTTGAATCGTCACGTAAAAAAGGATTGGATAAAGGATATTTTCTCAAGTTGCCATTACGAGTTCGCTCATCGAACACTGGGCTGACGGTCCTCGCTGGGCATTCGTGAAAATGTTCCTAACGGAAATACTGCCATGTCGATCTTTCTTGTGATACGTGCTTAACGTGGAAAATGTCGACAGTAACGCCGAGCGAAGTAAGAGCGTTGACTCACCGGATTCGTAATCCCGGCTGGGTCACAGATGGACCTCGATAAAACTTCGATCGATCTGAATCGGCCGAACTTCACATTCGGCGTGGTTTAGCAGGAAAAGCAGTCACATCAAGCTCGAAAAGGCATATCTCACGCTTTCGTGACGGGATGCGCTGTTACGGTGAAGCCGAGAATCGGTCGGGGCAACGCGGGTCGCAGTCCAATCACCATCGTATTAAACGAGAATCAACGATACGTTAGGTAATATTCCCTTCCTATCCGTTCGTTTCCGATCGCGAATGCTCACGAGTGGACGTGGAACTGCAGGTGAGGCACATGTACAAGAAATCGTTGTCGTCCGCCTTGCTATACTCCATCCACCACGCGGACGCGATCCGGGCTCCGGCTTTCACCTTCTGCGTCAAACCATCCGTGATATCTCGGCGGGGACCGGATGGATCGTCCAAGGATGATTCTACGAACTGGGAAAAATTTCCGAACATCTCGGTTTCGCTGGCCGACTTGGTCTTGCGCGCTCCCGGCGGGGGAGCGGAGTGGTCGCTTCGGAATGCGTCGACGGAGAACGGGGAGACCATCGTACCCCTTTCGAAAGGTGAGAAATTGGAAACCAACGTATTTTAGAAACAGTGCAGGGCGTCTCAGAAATCAGAGTACGTTGTGAGATTTCTTTGCGAAATAACGAATACACCGACATCAAACTATTCGAAAATCACTAGAATCGATCTGAATGGAGCATACTGGAATTAATCGCTACATACATTTTTTTATGTGTGACTATGCCCTATGCCCTCATAAATGAACTTATAATTACGTCGCAAAATTTTTCGAGCTGAAGAAGCAAAAATGATGGCTGAGCGGATAAGTAAAAAGCTGCAAAGTTTCGAAAACGATTTTTTATTGATCTAAAGACAATTTTTCTGTGGTAATAACTTCATAATTAATTAAGTAAATAAGTGGTGCCTAAGGTTTCAAATACATTTAAATTTCGAAAGATTGTATTATTTCGCATTGTAATTTGCCCTATGTACTCATTACTTTGAAACATGCAGTGAAAAATAGCGTTCACAAGTGTGTTTCCCTTGCATGGCAAAGGGCCAGGATACTGGAGCGAGCGAACATTTCTCGATCCGGCTCTCCGGGAACGCTACAAGTGCTTCACGCTGTTCCTTAAAGAAGAAATGCCAGCCGGGCCGAGCAATTGTCAAACAAACCTCTTCATCTTCGATGTGAAAGGGATCGTCGATTTCCAGGAGGTGCCGTTTTGCATAGCTTCACATATTATAATCGATGGGAGAGACCTTGACTTCTCGTGCGATCCGTACAGATGGAAGTGTACGTCCACGACGAGAGGGAGAAATTCACGAATTTCCCCTTCTTCGGGTCCGAGCGGCTGCTTTTAAAGGATGCGATGAACCGTCTCCTCATCTACCCAGAGATCCTCGAGAGACGAAGCAATAAGAATCGCTGCATCCCGGACGAGGGCCACAGCCAAGCAAGGGTGAGTTCGATCGAAAGACGATCGACATCGTTGGCGAAAGTGTTTCCGAAGGATTTCCTGGAGGAGTTGGCGGTTTGGTTTTTGCAGTGCATGGAGAATTGCTTCTGGAAAAATTTTCAGTCGAGCATGCATCTGCCATGTCTGGACCCTTCCATCGTGAGCACAAAAGTGAAGTCGAAGAAGGAATGTCGAGATCGGAAGCTCGAAGAGGAATTCTTGGGTAACTTGACGACTTTTTACGGAAAGTATCCCTGGTATCGGCCGTCGAAAAGTTGCTTATGTTCGAAGGGTTGTAAGTCGACAGAATACCGCATCTTCATGGCCCCGACCCCCGCCTGTAAACGAGAGTTTGAGAACACGAAAGACCGGAATATTTACCTAGCCATCAACTTCCCATCCAAACGAGTTTGTTCCCGTCCATAGAGAAGTTCTTCGCTTTCCTCTCCGGTGGAAAAATGGAGGTTCTAAGTGCTTCTCTTTGTTCACAGGTGCCTCACTTCAAGGAAAAGGAGAAGTTTAGCCTGCAGTACATCCTGTCGACCATCGGAGGAATCTGGATGGTCGGCTTTGGCTTTTGCTTCGTCACCCTCTTCGACACCATGAATCACGTTTTCTCACGCATCCGCTGCACGATATGCCCAAGGAAAAATGAGGCCATCCGCGACGATAAGCACTGATCCGACCGGGGGTCCACTTCTCCTACTTGTCTCTTCGTGGGGCTGCTGGGACGAGAGTCTTTACTTGTTTGCAACACGCTAAAGGAATACTGAAGACAATCATCTCAAAATACGTTATGGTGCATCAAGTATAATGCCTTTCATGTGAGTTTCTTGATATGTCCGTGAAATATTTTAGTCATTCTAGATGCCTTCACTAACATATAGGGGTGAAATACTATCACTAGTCGCGCATTTTCGATTCTGTAAGAAGTTTGTCAAATCCGACCTGAGTTTTCATTTTACGTGTGAAAATGCCTGCTACTGTTTACTTAGAAAAGCATCAAGACTACACTTGTGTTCTGATAACACGTAAAGGCAACATTATTCAGTTTTGTTCGGAATAGCGCTAAACGAAAATTGCATGGAGAAGTAGGTTCGACGTGGGATGAAAGATGAAAATCCAAAATGAAAACCTAAGGACTTGGGAAACGGAGATGTTAAACTGGATGAACACATTTCAGGCGACTGAATTTCACAAAATAAAGACGGAATCAGGAGTTGAATTTAGAATTCATGGATGTGAAAACAAATTTTAACTCGTGTTAGGCATATCCTGACATCAAGATAACGTATGCTACTTTTTTATTATCAGAATGAATGGAATTCTGCAGATTTTTCCGTTCTTTGTCCATTGATGAATGAGTTTGCGAGCTTTCCAGCTAAATAATTGATCTCAGAAGCCACGCACTTAGATTTAATTGCATTACGGATTAAAAGGGGATGCACTACCAGAGTAGACTTGATTCCGGTCCACCATCAGGAACGCGTTTCGACAAATATGGAGAGTTTTTAAGGACCATTGGGAACACACATCTCTAGTCTCGATTGCACCATCTGCTCCATCACAACGGATTCTTATCCCGGACCCTTCTTGTGACTTTTTTAAAGTGCCTCTTTTGTCTTTTGATATTCCAGTCCGTATTTAGCACTGTGCTACAATGTCCATGGGTCAAAAAATGAGATTATCGTAACTATTGAAATATATGCAGGAATGACCCGCATGGACATTCGCCCTCAAGCAGGGGATCCACCCACACATAGTTCACCTCCTGAGAACAATTATATATATTCATTAGTTATAGTATTAATGATATTGCCTTTCGAGTTAGCGAATGCACGTTTTTTTTGCGTCCTAAATGAGCATTTGAATGCCTTTGTGCAAAAAACCTTGAAAAACGAAGAAAATATCCTTGACTGCAATGATGCTCCTCGTTCGGTCCTCGTGCCTCCGGGCGAAGAGCGTCTGCATATCGTCTCTTCCCTCTCCTTTCTTCTTTACTTCTCACTATACTTCGATTCGTGTATTCTGATCTTTCAATCACGTGTGAATAAGAATTTTGTGGACAATAAAGATCGTTGCCTGAAAACGTGGAATGGATTCAGGCGATTTTTAGGGTCTCGCAACCTACTTGTCAAAAAGGACATCGGCGACCTAGTACCACCATGAAGTATAATATACCTTACATATCTTTTCATGCAATGCAGCTCAATGACGCGTTACGAATTACAGCTCCTGTAACCAAATGATGGCAGAAGAGTCGGCTTCACATCATCATCTACCTCTCCGAGGAACACGAAGCCGACGCGTTTATTACTTCTCAACGACAGATGAGTCCATAGTCATGCATCGGAAAGATGACAATAAAAAAGGGGAAGTCCCAAACTCGAAACCGAAAGTCCTTTTTTAATTCTGCGTTCTGGGTTTCTCTCTTCGCATCTTCATGGGGCCTAATGTTTCGGACGGCCGTTGGTATTTCTGCACGGCTACGATAGCAATGTCCGTGTTGCAAGTTTACTCGGGAAACCTTTGTTGCCTGCGCACGTTGCAACATCGCTGGCAGAGACTCGTTTCACGGCCAACGAGAGAGCAAGCCGTGACGGGAGCTAGCTTATGTCCTGTACCGAGTGGTCTCGACTGGGTTCCTTACGCTTCGGACGGCATTCATCGAGTCGCAGTCTTAAAATCTCGTTTCAATTTTTCCTCGCCAGAACGAATAACGAAACGAGAGTGAGGAAAATGGGTGCCCGTGAAATTGGTAACCTCGGCCCCTTGAGGCCCTCACCGAATGCATCTCCTTTTCCAAATGTCTAAATAGTTGGACGTCGGAACATCCTCCAAATATTGAGTTTTCTCCGAGACCTCCAGATGAAGAGGCGCGCTTTCGCTACGAGCGAGACAATTTCAACGAACGTTGCGATGAGCAGACAATAATGGGCGACCGAAAATATTGAAAATATTCCTCACTCTTTGTTTGAAGAACTACTTCTTTCGTGTGGTCATCCGCTGTATGCAATCGTCATATCAGGCCTTAGAAGACAAACTGCTCACAAGAAGTGAAGAGAAAGGAAATGGAGAATGAGGGAGCTCCTGTAGCAGACGATGCGTGTGGAGATTAAGAGGGAGAATAAGATATGTAACCCTTCTGGACTGGAATTCCCCAGTCAGAAAATGCCTACGCATACGATCTTAATCTGTTCACCGATGGCGCAAATGATATATTCCCCCCGAAGCATAGGATAGACCCAGATGCGGACATAAAATGGTTTAAATATGGCTTAGCATTTACAAATTGTGACGGAGAGAAAAAAAGAGATGAGATGATCATTCGCGATCGAGTGGGCTAATCGAGAAAGCAGAAAAGTTAAAAAGTTGTCGATCTGAGCCTCGCAGGGACGTTCTTCCGTGGGTCGATTCCACCGATACGTCTGACGTCCGCAGAATCTTTAACGTCGAGTCTGAATAAATGATCGCTCTTCGGCCCGTCGAGGAGATGACTGACGGGTCCTTCTGCAACAAAAGCGCCACCGTATTAAAAAATCATTTGTAATCGTGTGCGGAGGGACGGGGGATGTTGGTTCTCTCGATCGAGGTTCGAGCTTCCCCACCGGAGGTGTCAACCGATCGACAACGGGGATGGCAGCGCTCCCTGCGACAAGAGAGGAAAAGAAGGGTCGGAGGAAGGTGAACGACGACGTGGAAGGAATCGCGTAGTGCGAGGACGAGGAGAGCATTTCTTTCCAGTTTTGGTGAGACTCTTTTTCATTTTTCGCTTTCTTTTCGTTCCGCTGTTTCCGTCGACTCCGATCCGCTTCGTCGTGTACTGTATGTAGAGATGACTCCGACCTACGGTAGGTCGAATGACTGCCCGATGGAAAAGTTACGGCATGGGATACCCGTTTGGGTTTTAACAACGTAACTAGTGCATATCGTGCACTCGTTCCGACCGTTGCAAATGACCTCAGGAATCGTGTTTTATTTTCAGGGAATCTCTGTAAAACACCTCTGCACCTGTGGTCGATCTCTGCCAGATCCGGCCATGCATGTGGAGGATCCGCAACGGAGGGATGACATCCCAGGACATTTGAAAATAATCCAGACGATGACGAAGGAACTCCCGCGTCAGGAATCCAAAAGTAAAATCCACCAATAAGGCGCACGTTTCATAGTAAAAAAAGAGAGTTATTTGATAATGTTTTCGTACGTTCAGGTCTCGCTCGGCGGAGGATAGCATGGCTGTACAAGACCATCCTGACGCTCGTGATCCTCGGATCCTCCATCGTTTCTGTGGAGCAGGTAGTGACGCATCTTCTGCTAAAGCCACTTCTGTAGCGAAGAATGAATCATGCAGGAAATAACTCATTATGGGAAATGGAGCAACAGAAAGCTTCCACCGGCATCGATTTTCACTGCATCATCCCCATAGTCTAATCGACAATGGTCATCCTTGGTTTTTATACTTCGGTTCCACGTTATTTCACGTAGTCGTGACGCAAGGTCATTTGGCCCGCACGCTTACTCCGATCGACCTCTAGCATATTTTCTGCTTCTTGTATTCGTTTTTCTTTATCGATCGAGATGGGCTCTCGCATCCGTGAAGAAGGAAAAAGGGATTTCCTGCCGAGCTGGCAGACTCAAAACCCTGGGTCTTCCTCCCCCCTTGTTGTTCGCCTTTGCTCCTCGGACGAAATAAATTCTCGAGAACGAATGGGTTAACGTAAGCTACCGTTTCTCGACGAGCGGATTTAAATGACTCGTGATGGCAGTGGAGCGACGCGTAGAAGCGAAAGAATTGGAACCGATTCGCGTTAACCCATTCATTCGCCATACTCGTGCCACCGGCATCCTCATCGCGCCGATCTGCCTTCAAGTAGAATTAATTACAAAACGAATTTATGCAGGTCGCAATTCAGGGGGAAATTCTTTGATTGTAACACATTTGGACGAAACGACGAAGGCAGAATGAATCCACATTCGTGTCCATGCTCTATAGGAGTCCAAAAGCCACTTCTGCCTTTTTATTTGTGGCATTTCCTTCGAACTTTCCAATGTCGGCTACGAATGTTACGTGACTTCGAACCATAAATTTACCGATGGACATTCCACTTTTGACAGAAATATTTTAAAGAGAAGTCGATAGCACGATGCTCCAAATCCTGGACGTCTCTGGATACCGCTGCATGAACCTCGGCAACGAAACCTCATCGGCAATCCATAGTCGAAAGCGTGGTGGTTTTCGGTGGAGAGATCTCGCCGGCCGAGTGGCCGTGGTGGAGAGTGATCGAGCCACGGCATCCGAGCCGTCTCGAGGGAAGGGTTCCGTTCGACGACGTGTGCAGTACCGGTCCAGAACGTCGAGATGCACTGTCCCTTGGAATCTTGAAAAACGAAGAGCATTTAGCACGTTCAGGAGCCGAAAAAAGAAATCGGGATCCGTGTCGAAAGAGAAGGAACCCACGAATAAATCATTTTATGATCTCGAATGCATTCGTACCAAAAATGTTCCACGTGTGACGGTCATCCATCGCATCCGATCGACCCGTGTGTAAAATCTGGGTCATCCTATTCGTATCCAGCCCCATTTTTTCCTCGAATGATATATGCAAATGCATGGACCCGATGTGGACTTGCAGGTGCTTCTGGTGATCTCGGAGCGCCTGCCCTGGGAGTCCACTACGGT